GGTTTTTGGCTACATTGACAGAATGCTCACAGGTGTTTCTGAGGGATTACCACAAATCCTGAAGTAATTAGACAAATGTCCTCATAAAAATCATTGTTTTTCTCTACTAATACCACTCAAATTAAAAAAAAAAAAACATTGGCTGTTGTTGACTGTTGCAGTGAAGATCGGATTCTGAATAATACATGTTTTCATTACTTTGGTTTTATCAAGGGCTCCGCCAACAATTACTTCTCTGTTTCATGTACAGTAGTTGTCTGGGCCAAAGTAGTCGGTTGTTAAACTGCTGGATTTGTGCAGTGCATTTTATCTGTGCTTTACCAGACCGGTGTGTGTCTTTGTTTTGTCCCCTGACCTTGCATTGCGTTATTACAGTTTTTAATGTAGTGTGAAATAATTACCCCAACGCCCTGGAACAGATGATTTTTTTTTTTTTTTAACTTCCCAAATGGAAACAGGTCCTTTTTAAAAAGCAATTCTGAAAATACAAACTAAATAGTTTGAACTATTTAAAGCATTCAAACTATAAATACCACAGCAGAAATAATTAGTCTCTAAAAAAACTGGGGTACATGGTATTAGTCCTGTGTTTATCCTGTATATGTATGCGTTTGTGTATAGTGTATGCATATACAGTATACGGTATGTACTCAAATATATACACATAAATATATATATATATTTATGTGTATATATTTATATTTATATTTATATTTATATATGTTTTGGTCAGGATATATCACAAATGTACCAGTATTCATTTTATATCTTCTGTTCCATCATTAAAACCTTCCTTATTTTTTCAAAACTCTTCTCTCCTCACCATTCATACTTCAAGGTCAGTTGTGAAACACGGATCACGGTGATGCTGTGATGTATGTATTACGGATTGTTTGGTGATGTCACTGGGTTACTAAATGTTCATTTGATGTCTTCACCGGAGCAGTGAGGATGAGCAAGGCTGTGTAAAATCCCATCATGTTCCTTTCCTCTGCATTATTTGTTCATTTCTTTGAATTGTGGGTATATCCTGAACTGTTGTTGCACCGAGGGGACGGCTGAATAAAACAGCTCAGAGGTGGGGTGTGCAGACCTTTAATCACTGTGTCACTTTTTTTTTCAGAAACATTTCCCAGGGCAACTCGAGCTTACTGTACTAACAGAGAAATATTCTACAGAGTTATGTGAGCTTTGAGTCTTCATTCCTCATGTTTTTTCTTTCTGTCTTTCTTTCTTTCCACCAGTTCGTTACCTGCTGAGGAACAATGTGAGTCCAGACCTGTGCAATGAAGACGGCCTCACCGCCTTACATCAGGTGAGACCGACACTCTGGCAAGGAACCGAGATTCTCTGAAGTCTCAGGCAAGAGTACGAAGAAAGGTTTCAGACAATAATCTGCTCCAAAGATATAGAATGATCTAAGATAAACTTTTTCAAAAAAAAAGTATTTGTATCTAGAAGAAAATAATTACTGTTCAAAACACTACTACTAATATTATTATTATTATTTTACATTTTCTTATCTGTTTACTTATTTATTTTTTACACATTTGCTGTATTATCGGCCCCAGTTGCACAGCATGGCGTTTCTTTGTGCCTCTGTTTTGTATCTTATCTGTGTTTGACCCCTGATCATCACATAGCTCTTACAAACTATTGCGTTTCAAAGCACATTTGTCAGTGTTTGTACTATTTGATTACTAATAACCCAGCAATACATTGAAGGAATTGCTTTTTTAGAGCAGTTGAAGTTAAGAAAATTCAAGAGGAAAATATTTCACTAATTTTATTAAAAGAGCAGCAGAAAGTGTATGAAGATGATGCATTTACTGACCTTATGGGCACATATCTATTTAGTACAGACAGGAGCAGAGATAGTGGACTAAGGCCATAACTTGATTTCTGTCTGTTTTGTTCTGTCACACAACGTAGTGGGCAGTGTCCCCGTAAAAAAAAAAAAAAAAAGGTGAGTTACCCAACACGGAGTCGCAGCGTGATGTCAAATTTAAGGAAACTTCTGTCTGTCAGACGCCATTTGTCTCTTCAATAAGTCTTCATCCGTCCTGTCTTTTCTCCTCTCTTTGACGTCTCTCGTTCCGTGCCTCTGACAGTTTATATTCTCTCTCTCTCTCTCTCCTGGCTCTGCCGCAGCCGTCTCTCTCTCTTTCACTCTTGGCTGCTTTCAGCCTAATATTCAGGCTCATGCTGAGAGGCAGAGAAATGAGCGTGGAAGGATGAAAAATTGCTCATCAGTCAGCGCTAGTGTGGCTGAGGTTTTTTAAAGCAGCGGGCTGCTGGCTGCACGGGGTTCAGATTGACCTTTTAGTGTTGATTTTTGTGTGTGAGTGTGTGTGAGTGAGGGTCTGAGTATCTATCAGGCAGTCATTTGAGCTGCTGTGTGTGTGCTCGTGTGGGTCAGGGTTAGGTGGGTTTGGTATTTGTCAGACTGCAGTAAAAGTGAAAAGGTCCTGTCTAGAAGACTGGGCCAACTGATCCATCCAAACAACTGATTACACACATGCACGCACACGCACAAACCAAGAGGCTGAGTGGCAAATAGATGGGGTGAAGGAATGTGGCTGTTTCTCTGAATTACATGTCATATCTATCTGAGGACGGATTGACCTGACTGGAGTGAGACATGTTGGGCACACACACATTCTTATTCAAAGATTGATCGATCGTAACAACACGATCAACTCAGTGAACCACAGCCTTTTTTTTTCTTCAAAAAAAGTTGTGTTCAATGCTACATTATGAGTTTGTGTCAATATCGTTTAATGTTTAATGTTCGTAATAATGTTTAATTTTTTATTTTTAAATTTTAGAAATACAATTAAAATATATTAAATTGTTTTTATATGAAACCTTGTATCTACACACTTCAAAAATCTAATTTACCAAACATTCCTAAAGACACATAAAATAATAGCTAGAAGATAACACAGTTGATACGTATTTACATTTTAGAAATAGCTCAAATGTAGATGGGGAAATGCAGCTGTTGTAACCAACAGTTAGCAAAGATGATGGGCACAGCTGAAAAGTGTTTTTTTTTTATATATTTTTTTAATGGTTGAAAAAAGTTCTTTGTCAGTGTCTAAAGTGTGCAGAAGTGATGCTGCAGGCAGCAGGTAATGTCTTAGGTCTAGACAGGAAACAGATAACACGTTGAATTGTCGCTGTGTTTTTCCTTGTTTTATCACACTTGTATATTCTCTCCCTCTACCTGAGTGAATGCTGCTCAGCCAAAAACTGCATTTAATAGAAAACATCCATCACTCAAGAAAGGGGACAAAATGCCACATCCATCTTTATTTTTACTGTTCCAGCTCAATCTCTCGTTCTTCTCTCGACACGTTTAATCTAAAGCTCACACGTCTGGACTTGGAGGAGACGTTTATTTTTCCAATACACAGCCTTTGGTAAACAACTGCAGCTGTTTCGTGAATCTGTGCTCTGATGTGTTGCTTCACATCTTCGGTGTGGCTGTTTGGAGGTTGTGACCCCGAGGAGTCACGACCTATGACCCTTTGAGTTGTTTTCCACGTTCATGTGAATTAGGTTCGTGTTAGACGTTGCTTGTACCCGGCATTTCCTTGGAAGTTTTATTTTGTACTGTTGAAGCACTAACTAACTAGTACTTAGTCAGCTAGTTAGTTTCCCTATTAGTTCTCAAGATCTTAAACTTTTATGCGACAGCTTCTAATGCAGGTTTTGTTTTTCTGTTCCTTAATGATAATCTGCAATGCGACGGCTTCTAATGCAGGTTTTTTTTTTCTGTTCCTTAATGATAATCTGCAGGAGGTGCGATGTCTGGATGTGAGTGTAGGCCCGAACCTTCACTCAATCATAAAGCTGTTAACTTTATGGGTCAGCTCTGAGCACTGCAGTACACTTCCACACCCACATCGTCAATTCCTTAAAAGCTAGAGAAGCAAACAGTAATAAAGGCAGAGCTGCTGTATTTATTAACGATCCTTGAGATTATAAATTAAAGTTAGTGACCTGATGAAGATAAAAAAAAAAATATATGTTCCTTTATTGAGTCTTAATAAATTATGGTTAAATACAGTGAGTAAAAAAAGTAAAAAGTCAAGTCATGTATTATTGTATATTATATTTCCCTTCACCATTTGTTTTTTAATTATATAAAACATATATATTTTCTGGCTTATATTTTGTGCCACTTTGTGATGAATGCTCAATAGATTATTTCCATTCCAAATGTTCTGTATAAGAGAGGCATTTGAAATTTACATTTATTTTGAAGTTCAGAAATCCTCGACATATTTAGGTGGTACCTGTGCTGATGTCAGATCATCTTTGCGATATTGGCAAAATTTAAACTGTCCTTTAACCTTCAACCTTCCACAATCTCAGCTGTCCTCCCGGTCACCCGGCTATCTTCCTGTCAGATTTACGCTCAATGCTTAAGGTCGATGTTCGTGCTGTTTGCGACAGACCTTCTGCCCTGGTCGTATTTCGGCCACTCAATCTAAATCCCAGCTGAATCCGCGCTCAAATTCACAACCTGAGTCTCTGCCCACTTCATTAAATGACGTTGCTATGGGAGACTTGATTTGGTGGCGGTGGCGTGCGGCCTCCGATGTTGCTCTAACAGGAGTGCCAAGAGAGGTCATCCATGTGAAGAATTGGTTTAATTCGATGTAAAATGCTCGACAGCACTTGTTTTTACCAAGACACTCTCCGGGGTGTATGAGGACATTCTCCTCTCTCTGTGACAGCTGTCATCTGGCTGCTCTGGGGCTGTTCATCCTTGGTTAACTTCTGGACAGTCATTCTTTTTTCCTCAATATTTATAAAAATGTGACATTCTAAAACGAAAGGCTGGATCTTACTTTGGAGCTATTGAAGGAGTAGGAACTGTTTTACCCTCTGTTTTATACCTCTGGTCATCTAACTGTTCTTATAATTCTACTTGTTTTGCTTATACATATGATGTGCTATACTTCAGTATACATAATTCTAATTTAATTTAATAAAAGAGATTGCAATAACAGCACAACAGCAAAATGTATCTACTAAACTACTACTACTAATCTATTATTACTATCCTATTAATCTTTTAATTTACTAATATCCACTGTTCAGGTTTTCCTTATTCTTTCAAGGTGTGCTGCTATACTTATTTCTATTGTACTGCATCTATTTTCCCCTAGGGGTTAAAAAAAGTTTTATCTATCCATCCATCCATCCATCTATCCATCTATCTATCTATCTATCCATCTATCTATCTATCTACCTACCTACCTACCTACCTTGGTCCAAAAAAATATGTAGTTGCAATCACCATTTTAACGAAATGGCACGAAACCTACCTATCAACCTACCAACCAACCTACCTACCTACCTATCTACCTATCTACCTACCTTTGTCCAAATAAATATGTAGTTGCAATCACCATTTTAACGAAATGGCACGAAAACCTGAAGTCCACCATGGCCAGAATTGTCCTGCTCTATGTGAACGCAGCTCAGTTCTATCTAATGAAACAGATTGTTGGAACTAATACAACGCAACATGTCTGAGCCAGTATCTGTCATCGTTACTCAACTGTGCTGAAAAGTCCATTTTAGCCAATGGCAGACTAAACATAGCTTATGGTAAGTGACGTGTTTATATGTTTTCGGCTCATTCATCATATGAAGCTGAGGTTTTCTTTACCATAAATTATACTCCTGGTTTATGGCTGTAGTGTGTAGTTATGAATTTCTATAATTTGATATGCTTAAGGTAAAACAAATATGCATTTACTCATGAATTGGCCAGGTCTCTACTGGAAGAGAAAGTGTTTCTTGATGCATTGCTCTTGTAATTATATTTTGAGCATGTGTGAAGATGTAAACCAGGGTCTAACCACTCGCTGCTTGAGGATTTATTTCCAGCTGCATTTGCAAAAGGGATTGAAAACCCTGAAATCATCTGTCTTCTTCCTTAATCTAAATGACTATATAATGATAGCGCTGCATTACATTGACAGGATTTCTCCTAAAAGTAAAATGGAAAATAATTTAGTTAAGGTGACACCAGTAGTTTGTCTTCATACGGCTGTTGTTTTTCTACTTGTCGAAATCAAATGAGATGGAGAGAAAAAAAAAACCAAAAAAAAACTCAGTCTCATTTTTCCTCCTGTCGTTTCTCACTCTCAACCTGAGCCACTGCCCTCTCTCAGCCCACTAATGGATCCAGCAAGACTGTTGCTGTTGTTTTCCAACCACACTGACATAATCTGGGCCGTTGTCCAGCGCCGCGAAGTGCTGTCACAAAAAGACACATTATTTCTCTGCTTGTTTCAGTTTCTAGTTGTCAGTACGAGAGAGAGAGACGAAGTTTGTCCACAGCAAATGTTCAGGAGGCAGCTGAGAGTTTAGAGTTGTTGACAATGACAGTGTGAGACAGTGAGAGGAAGTATTTTGATAGGACGTTTGAAAGGGGAATGTGGCCGTCATTGAGCTGCTGCCGAAGACTGATGGGAATTGCTCTGTGTAAATCTCACACACTCTGATATTGTCAGGTTTATTCAGGAGGTCAGTAAATCCTCCCAGATGTTGGCAAACGCTCAGTTTCCTTTTTTTATTTATTTATTTATTTTTCAAATCAAGACAAAACTCCTGCAAGCTGCTGTTTTAGCCGGTAAAAATCTCACAAATTATTGTACGTCTTTAACAAGGCTCTATGTCTTAAAAGACATAGAGACTAAATTATCTTTAGCTGGGACTTTTAACATCAATGGCAATTCATTTTATTGGTCAGTCTCATATAATCAATTTTCATCCTTTGGCATACTCAGGTGCGACTTATATATTAAAATAAATAAATTCATGTTTTTTATTTTCACACTGACAGCCACTAGAGGGCACTCTAGGCTTGTGTATCAGTATCTGCAACAAGGGTTAGAGCATGCAACAACTGATGATGTTAGAATTCTGTCTCTTCTCTTTTAATTAACAGCTTAGACTGCAGTTGTAACATTACTTATCTAACGCGATTAACCTTCTATTGCACTTATGGCCGTGGGCAGCGGTGGATACAAAAGCACCTTGGGTGCGGGTCAAGCAGGTAACTCTTTTCATCAGGAGAGCCCACGCAGAGAGAATCCTCAACAGAGAGAAGGATATTAGGGCTGAATCCCCAATTTGAAGGGTCACTGGTCGGGACGTAGGTGGATTACCAGAAGCAACTCCCTTACGCATATATTTGTAGAAATAAAATATAAATAAACGTCTTTTTCCTGTCTTCTTTTTATAGCATACGTTGTTGTTATTTTTTATATTTATTAAGATGTTTCTATATTTTCCATATACATTCTGTTATTTTTATATATATTCTATCATTTATATTTTTTTTTATGCTAATATTTCCTACTCCTTCTCCTAACACCAAACAGACGTGGAGTTGTTGTGCCCTTTTTTTCCCATACTCTGTTAACTTGGTTCTTTTGAACCTTCTGTGCATTGACTCTAGAATAATAACCAACAGCACAGGTGCAATGAAGAAGAATGACTCAAGATAAAACAGGAAGTTAATTCCCAGGTCTATTTTACTTCATCATTTTATAACACAGTGGAAAAATCTTATCCTGTCATGCAAAGTTAGACGTCTGGAGTTAAAAACTCAAATGTTAGTATTTGAACCAATTAAAAAAACCATTGAACTTGCATCAATAAATGAAAGACCCAAAATGAATAAATATCAGTTGTATGTAAAATCAGACATTTTTAACAAAGTCTTTTTTTTTTTTTTTACCAAGGAAGTTCACCACTATAGATGACTGAACATGAAACCTGACAGGAATGAACAGGTCAACTCAGCTGCTTGTTATTGAGCCTGTTGGGTTAAAATGGTACGGTCCACATTTTGGAGTGTGGCCCATTGTGTTTTCAGTCTCAGTCTCAACAGCCAAAAGAAAAACCATTTCCTTTTCACGTTTATTCACAGGATGTCTGTGTAATAGTCATTTATTTTAATCACTCAGATTCTGTTTTCTGCTTCACTTCATATCCGTCTTTTTAATACATGTCCTTAATATTCCCACAGTAATTTCATTTCCTCTCCTTTGTTGTGTATTAATACACACGCTGTCATCAAATTATCTGAGTAGCCTTGTGAGACAAAGCTTTGAAACATATTCTTATGTCCGTAAAGCCTAATTATGTGATCTTTCGATTGCTGAGATCAGATTAGTGTTTGGTAGAAGGGCTGAGAGGGGGGCTTGCTAAATGTGGTGCTAACGGTAATGATTTTAACATCAACATCTGGATTAATTGTGTTTGTCTCACTTGGGTTTTTTAAGTGAGTGAAGTCCAAAGTGGAGCGATATCGACTGGCGTTTGATTCACTGAAGACTTCTGCTAAATTCCTCAAAATAAGTCAATGCTTTCAAGTCGGGCAGAGTTTAAAGCTGAAGTGAAAGTGAACTACTTGTCATCGTGACACAGCGCACCACTGCACACAATGTGACCCCAGCCTAAGATAAATGACATGTAAAATTCATGGAAAAGGCTAAAATGCTTTTATAATTTTCTATGCCATCTATTGTGCAAATATGGGTATTGCAGAGAAAAGGCAGAAGTTTAGTGAAAATATAAATAAATAATATAATTTAGAAAAGTTTGGTGGGCCGGATTAAAAAGCTCAACGGGCCACATCTGGCCCCCGAGCCTTAGTTTGCCCATGCCTGCTTTAATGTGATAATTGCATTGAGATGCTGTGGATCACTAGGTCTAACAGTGTCACAGGTCCAGAACAAGTCACCAGCTCTGTCTGCTGGCTGTAAAGGTGTAGTTTTAGTCAACGACTATCAATTTAAATTTAAATATTGCGCAACACTTACGGTCATTAAAATGACAAGGAACTGTAAATATTAAGCAACACTTACGGTCATTAAAATGACAAAAGTGTCATACACAGAGAGTACAGACCAGTTATGTATTCTGATTTTGACAGATAGTAGTTTTAGGACAACGGTTCTAATTCACAACAATATTATATTTGGTTCCAGCTCACATTACATGAACTTAATTTCACACTTTTCTTCCTCGTGTTTCCTGGTCGTTCGTCTTATTTAGCAACTCAGTGCTACCGGGCTCGCACCGATCTGTCTCTGTTGTGAGAAAACATCTGTTGCTGTGGCTGACAGCAGTTTGACCAGTGGATGTTTGACATGGAAAATTCTTCTTTCCTTCCTTTTGCCCTCCGCCCTACAATCACACCCAGTTTAACGATGAAAATACTTTGGAGTCCCCCGGTGTCTGTGTCTCTGTCTGTCTCTGTCTGTCTCTGCGGTTCATGGGTGTGAGTTTTGTCTCAGATCCAGGAAACAAACCCACACAATAGCAGAGATGTCAGGCTCACTGTGTCTACGTCCACCCTGTGTGATTTCTCAGCCGCTCAGTCTGAAGTACTCTGCCTGGGCATTTTTGTGGAAATACTGTATTGAAATACTATTAAATACCTTGAACTAAAGGTTCCAGGTTATATCACAGCATTTTTTAATTACAAAGGAGAAAGGTTTAGGTGTATTGACCCAAAGATCAAAACATGAATTGAATAATGTTTGAAAATAATTAAACTGTGTTTACTGCCACAGAAAAACAAAAAAAGTTGTTTAGTTGTTTTGTTTTTTTAAAAAATACTTAAATTGTTTACAATAAAAATGTTTGATCCCCATAAATAACTCATTATTCTACTTAAGTCCTGTTGTTTACCACACGATTTATAGAAAACTTCTTACAAATCTTAATCTTACTTTTTTTGGGCTATCGTTATAGTGCTGCATTGATAACTACGACGAGATGGTGAAGATCCTGCTCGATCGAGGAGCCAACGTTAATGCTCAAGACAACGAACTGTGGACGCCGCTGCACGCTGCTGCCACCTGTGGTCACACAGGGCTAGTGAAGATTCTAATCGCAAAGTAAGTCATAAAGATAAATATCACTCCAGGCGTTTGACACTCGTGCATTTTAACTGGTGGGAGAACGCTCAACTTCCTTTTGAATGACTGAAGTAGTTCCTGTGTATTCCAGCAGTGGCTGCTGTTAACACACTTGCTGTTGACATACGCTCATCCTCCGAGAAAGGGCCATCTTGATTTTTTTTTTTAAATACTGTATGACATTCAGTGCACTGATGAAACAGATTTGTTTCATTTTTTTCAAGGAGCATTTTAATTTTATCTATAAAACATCATATACAGTATGATAAAAATATATATTAAAAATGATATATATATATAAATATGTATTATTTTTTTCATATATTTTGATATTGTGAACACAGAGCAATTACATCACAGAAAAAATATTATATCGAGGATCGCCATTCAGCTAAAATATATTGAGATATGACTTTGAGTCAATATTAAAAAATATATTTTTTTAAATATTTCCAATTAGTTTGACTTTGTTCATCTGCTCACTTCCCCCACAGCGGTGCAGATCTGCTGGCGGTCAACTCTGACGGAAACATGCCGTACGATCTGTGTGACGACGACCCAACACTGGACATCATTGAGACGGCGATGGCCAACAGAGGTAGGGTGAACATGGTGGAAGAGTTTTTGGGGTGGGCCAGTACATTTTCAAGGTCGACGACGACGACAACAACAGCTGAAGATGCTGTGACTGAGTTGAGAATTAATGGCAACAGTCCTGGCCTTTGACCTGTTAAAATCTATGATTATTGCTGAGGAGGCTTTTGACCTCTGAAGTAAATTCTTCACTGTGTAAATTATACTATGTTAAAATCTATGATTATTGCTGAGGAAGACAGTGTAGAGTTTTGTAAACCCAATGCACTTAGTGTGCTACGCAGTTGACACACCAGGGAACCCGGAGAGATTTGCTGCACCCGAACTCTCTCCGGCTCTGAGTGGGATGCAGATTGCAGCAGTGTTTATTCCCGCTGTCTCACTGTAAACAGCCCCAGTTGGCAGCATCTGTCAGGGGACGCGTCTGAGAAAGTGTTCAAGCAGCATCGGCTCTAACATGTCCCTAAATGCACTTCAGTGATGCGGAGGAATTTCGCGCCGGTCGAGTTATTTGCTTTACAGTTGGAGTGTTGGGATAAACAGAAGGGTGGTGAGAAACACGGAATCACACTGCAGTGTTTACATTCAGATGTTCATGTTTGGTCTCCATTCCAAGTCAACTGTCACCATCAGTGTGTGTAAATGTACAGTATGTCGAAGGTAACATATGACTTCGATGACGGGTTTAGCAGAGCCCGAGAGAAAAAGGTTGAAATGTTGACACTAATGGAACGATTTTACTATGAAATTAATGTGAGAAATTGTGAAAACTTTTTGAGTAATGTCACTAGTAGAGCATTAATTACTTTAAAAAAATCATCATCTTAATTCATCTCAACTAACTTTGATTAATCATGAAAATCCACAGCTACCTTCTGATTAATCAGATTAATATCTAAATTATAAGGCAGATTCAATTTCAAGTTACATTTGTTCATTTCATCCACGATGACCTCGTCCGAATGGATGACTTGACCTCAGCAAAGTCTGAGGAGATTAGATTAACGTTATACTCTGACATCATACTTTTAAAAAATACTGCTGCTATTAATACATATAATATTTTGATAAAGAATAAAACAATGAATAATGGTGCCATTAAAGACATTAATGTGAAATGTTGACAGAAAAATAAATGATGTGCATAGTTACTCCATAAACAGGATAATGCTGGCATCTATCACACACACACACACAAATGCACACACTCACGTACACGACAAAACCAAATGAGGTTCTCAGTTCACAGTACGGATCAGAATACAGATGGAGGTAAAGGAGGTGAGAAGAATGATTATTGAGCCGATCAAAGGCAGAGAGGAGCTGCTAATTGTTCCTGTAATGGTTTCAGCTCTGCACTGCTGGGTCAGAATTTGTCTCTGGGTGTCTCTAAAACACTCTGTGTCACCCCTTCTCTCTCTTTCTCTCTCTCACTCACTGAGCAGCATTGACTCCTCCGTCTCTGTTCATCCTCCCCTGTAGAACACAGCTTATCCCTGATTTTCTGCAGGGATAAAGGAGAACTGAGCCAAGAACTGAGCCAGTGGAAAAGAGAATGGATGATGTAAAATAGTTGGATGAGCTGAGCCCTAAAGTGAAGAGCTAAAATCAGATTAATAATCATCGAGATGTTCATGGATATTTAATATCACAAGTTGACGACCTTGCGTCTGAGTGTACATTAACATTCATACGTTCATATATATAACTGAGAGCTGCGGTAAAAATCAAATCATGTTTTCACAGATGCATGTCATGTATTCAAGCTTTGGAAGTGATGGCAGGTGTTTTCTACCGTTTGACTTTCACCTTTGTCTGACAGTCACAGTCTGTGTTTGATATTGAGCAGAGGACTCCACTGGGGAAACAGAGACATTTCTTAAAGCCTGTCTAACAGTACAGTACAGTACATTATTGTTGAGTCGAAGTTGTCAATGAAATGTGTCAATCACAGTGGGCTGCTGTGTGATGAGAGGAGAAACAAGACAGACACAAGTCGTAACAATAAGAACATACAGTATGTCACTCACCTACGCTAACACAGTAGTAACATAATAATTAAAAACACAAACACATCAGAAGAGTCTGACTAACGCTTAGCAGCCAAATGAATGCCAAAAAAAAACAAACAAAACAAACAAAAGAAAGTGAACGTAGCACAATGCAATGCAATCCATTCAAAGTGTGTGAAAAAAGTGGCGGCTTATAGTCCGGATATTATGGTAGTTGGCGAGTTTAAATGCCATAGTTTGATGATGTTGCAAACCGAGGACCCACTGTATATGGATGTTGGCTTTATATGTTTTTTGAATTATAAAATAATTACATATAATTTAAACCTTTTCTTAGTAAAAATATTAAAACAGTGCTTTTATTCTCCATCCTTTACTTCACTGTGACACAGTCAGCACTGCCTAAAGTGAACTCTGGGATTGACACTTAATGTCTGATTGACAGGCATCACCCAGGAGATGATCAATGAGACTCGGGCGTCAACAGAGAGGAGGATGCTGGGAGATATCCAGGGACTACTGAAACAAGGAGAGGAGGCCAACCAGCAGGACTCTGGGGGAGCCACTCTGGTGAGACACAATGGTTCCTGTGTAACTTCACTCGTGGGTAGACGTCATGTTTTTTGTCTTTCTCTATCACAAAATGTCAGATATGCAGTGGAGCTGCTGCCACTAAAGCTATTCCTACACTACAACATTTTTCTTCTTTTCCTGTGCTTTTGGATTTGTCATTTTCCTGTGCTTTGTATTTGTTTGTTGTCTATATGTTTTACCCCAAGCGTTCACCAAGTAGTTATGAAGTTATTGACAGCAGACTGGGACAGTAGACTGATAGATACTGTTGAAGACAACTGAACTTTCTAGCCGTTCTACAAGCTGCTGTGGAGGTCAAGAATAACGACTACAATCCTCCCACTCTGTGATCAACACACCTACATATCAATAAATCCGTCATTGGGTTTAATCCCAAATAAATGCGGGTGTGAATCGCAAACATCTACCTCCTGCTACTGTTACTGTCCATAAAAAAAAATAGATAAACATGATTTGAACTTTATTGCATTTTTTTTTTGCTTATTTAGAAATGTTAATTAATATCAAATAATCATGATTAATCAGTCTTAATTGTTATCCATTTTATGGTTAAAAAACTGAGTCAGGACAAGTGTGTAAAAACCATGGGTGAAACTACAGTGGAATGTACAGCAGAGACCCTTCAGCCTGTAGCTCAGGGGTGTTAAACATACGGCTCATGGGCCAAAACCGGCCCGCTGGGGGGTTCAATCTGGCCCGCTTGATGAATTTTGAAAGTGAAAAAAAAAAAGAGCAAACACATCATGTTCGTAGCGTTTTGTCAAATTATTTTTCGTTAAAAATGTAGATTTTCTGAAAACATG